CATTAATTTACTCTATCACCTTTTGAAGCTTTTTAAACTTCTGGAGTAGATAATATTCTGTAGCAAGGAGATCCATAGTTAGTGTATTTATTTCTTTTGAAAAGTATTTTATTTTTAATCCTGCCACCTGAATATTCATTTGTGGATTTTACGATAATATTTTTATCTTGTGGTAATAATTCTGAATTTATTTTTAAGCTGTGCAGGGTATTAAATATATTTGTCACAACCTGCATCCATTGTTTCTTTTTTTCTGTGATTAAGATTATAGAGTGCTAGCTTATTCCATGTCCAGAAGTAGTTCCWTATCTTTGGTTATCTTGATCACCTTGTAGTATTTGTTCTATTTCTAGATTTTGCATTTGTTTTAGCCTTTCTAGTCCATTGGCTGATGCTCTACCCTCACTGTGTACCCACAGCAACAACAGGAGGCTGCCTGATACCAGATTAATTTTTGTGATAATGTAAGAGTGTGTTAAGTGGCAGAGTGAGGAAGAAGACTTCCTGCTGATGATAAGGCAGGCTTGGAGCTGTTTTGTTCCGATGTGCAGCTTCTCCAGAAAAATGTCTTTGCCCACGAGGCAGCCCTGCCTGTTTGCCCTTGCCCAGCTTGTAGCCCACCTTCCCTTCCCAGCAACAAAACCTGGACACTGTTTTCCCAGTGCACTTTGGATGTGGCTCTGAGTTAGTGGCCAARTGTGTGTCATGGGGATGCTGAGTGACCAAATCACATAAATTGGCCTGTTTGAGTTATCAGCCTCTTCTGGCTCATGAGGCAGGGATTTGTGCCACAAAGCTGTCAGAGTCATGTACTGCTGGTGTTCACTGTGTGTTATACAGGACAATTTTTCTTTCCCTTTTTTCTTTTTCCTTTTTTTTTTTTCCCCCTAAGTCCATAATCCACTCCTTCCTCTTTCTCCCTCACCCAAAATACCAAGAATGAGCTGAAATATTGCAGAGATGGGGGGTAGCTTTTAATATTTACGGTTGTAGAAAGTGAGCTGTTCCATCAGAAATGGTCAAAGTCAAGGCTACATGTKCAGTGTTAGATTATCCTTTTGCGCATGCAGCTCCATAACTCTTTGGTCACTTGTATCCTGTTTTCTTTTCTGTAAAACATCAGGTATTTCAGAAATGCTGTAAATCATAGAGTAGAGATAGATATGTTTATTGATGAGATTTTTTTYTTTTCCCCCTGCTGGCTTCACCCTTTTGTTGTTGTATTTCAGTCTGTAGTTTGACTACAGTGCTTCTCTCTCCCATCTCATTGTAAACTGTCGTTCCCTACCTTTCGAAAAMCTACTTCAAATGTAACTGAATAAAAAGCAATGGAGAAAACCACATTAGGAGGGGAAAAAGGAAAGCAAATCCTCWGCTGTATGAAGCTGCCAGTAATGTTCAGAAGCTGACAATGATGAACTGTTCAACTAAGCATAAATAGTCTTCACAGTCTCTGTGTTTCTTGCCTTGTGAAACTGGGTGCACTGTACTCATTATTTTTTTTCCTTTTTAAATATTTGGTGATCACATCATTTACTTTGTCTAGTGTAAGCCTCTAAGTCGCTCTTCACTTTGCTGTACATGAAAACCAGGARTCTACAGCTGGTCTGGTGTGCACAGAAATGAGCAGTTAACTGTACTCCAGTCTGGTGTTTTGTGATCTGCCATGTTATTTTACAGTGAAAACATCAGAATAGAATACTGCAAAATTGACGGGTTTCCATTGACAGGGATTTTAATCTTTTTCACTGTTTACATACTGAAGATGAGGACTTTGCTATGACACAAAGACACTCTGGGAAGATTTCAAACAGCAGCAGCAAAAAAAATCCTCTCTTTGGGGAAGAAAATGTATCATGTAGGCTGTTTTGTCATTTTAAAGTTAAAACATTCTTCCCAAGAGTATTAGCTGAGGAAAACCTCATATTTTTTAAAGCAGTTAAGTAGCCAAGAAGTCAATAATATGTATAAAATGTGTAATAAATGTTGACTTCTGTGCYTTTACTCCATGATACCCTGTCATACTTGACTTAGTGTCCTTGCATAGACTGAAGACCCATGATTTATATTGAGAGGGTTTGTTTGTGAAGGTTTGTACTACCCCATTAAAAAAGATTCAAAAGTGATTAAACCTCTATCTTCTGATTATGATTATTGAAAATATCTTCACAAAAGAAAATCCATTAAGAGAATAGGTGCTGCGTGCAGGAAATGTGAGGAAACGGAAGTACACAACCAGAGTTGTGTCTCYGGGTAATCAAAGCTGCTGCTGTTAGCTCCTGCTCTTTCAGGTTTCACTAATTGAAGTCCATTGACTTAAATCCATTGTTTGTATTAAGAAAGGGGGAGGGGAGGGGAGGGGAAAAAAAGCCTCTGGGGTTGGGTTTTTCTTTTTTCTTTTTTTTTCTAGTATTGTCCTTGTCAACATGCCACAATTTCATCTGAAACAAGGGATGCATGAAGCTTTTCAGTCTGRGTTTTGTTTCCCTGTATTTTTTATATTTGTTTAATTTGCTGACTGGCAGCTCTAAAATATCACTAATCAGCATATCTGGCCCAAATACTAGGCTTGACTTGAACATACTGACAGTGTCTTGGCTCWTGGACAACTGAGACTAGTTTGAATTTTTGTTCTGTGATCTGTATAGGTAGAGGTGATGGAAGATGAAAATAATAGTCGGTAAATCTGTCTAGTTCCTTTCCCAGCAATGACACAGAAGTCAAGCCCCAAATGCTTCTTTTGATCTTGTTTGTAACCTCATGTAGCTTTGGAGAGTTACTTCTGACTTACAAGACCTTCTGTGGATGAAAAGCAGCTCTCTAATTCCACTGCTCAATTTTGCAGGCTTGTGTTTGAGTCCCTTGGTCCTTTTGCTCTCTCTCTGATGCACCAGTGYATTGCATTCAATTTTATGACCTGAAGAGCTGCTGAGCAATGTCAGCTCTTTGTCTGGCCACCACAGAAAGCATCTTCTTCCTCTCTGAATCCAGGGAAGTCATCTGAACTAGTTACTGTGGCAAGTCCTATCATGACAAGATCCAAAATTCACTTACAACCTTATTTTTTTTTCAAGGTACTCCACATCTGCATTCTCCAAACTAMGCAGAGTAGGGATCCGACATCCTCCGCCTCTTCCTTTCATTGGAAACCTGCTCTTTTTCCGTGAGGTAGGATATTGTTTTCTTTTTATTAATCAAAGTGATGGGAAGAGTGGATAGGAGGAATTGAAGGGAATCTTGCATTTCACTGGTACCACCTCTTCAAGCACATCCCTCTGGAAAGGACAAGCAAAACACAGCCTTTTGAATGAATTGGTAGAAGCAGTTTTGTGTAAGCAGCGCTAATTCCAGGGTAAAGTAAACTTGAGGGAAAGAAAATGTGTAAGCTCCTGCAGTTAATTACTTGAGCTTTTCCAAGAAAAGTTCATGCCCTCAGTGAAACAAACTTAGTTATGTGAATAGAGCAGATTATGTTAACTAGCCCCAACTGGTTTGTTCCGAGTGGTTTTGGCTCCTACGACCTTTCTGTTTGTTTGCACTTTTGCTGATTGTACACATTTACTTTAAAGCCTTTAATGTTGCTGGCTCCTAAGCAGTAACTGGAATTAGGTGCTGCTGAATATTGTTGGTCTGTGATGCAAATATTAGGGCTGTGTGGAAGGGGAAGTGGTGGGATTTTATTCTTCCAGGTTTCATTCTTTTCTCACCCATCCTATTTCAATAACCTGCTAATGCTGTGATTTGTTCCTTGTTCAATTTCAGTAATGTTGCTGAGGGGCCAATATACTTTAATAATGAGAAGCTGCTATTTTTCTGGTTAGATCTTGCAGTAAAATCTCTCCAGTGTGTCTCTGTTTGCAGCCCAACAACTTTTCAGGAAATCTGGGCCAAGTCCAGCTGCTGTCCAGCTTTCTCTGTTAAGTGCATGGTCATCAATATCTATGCTGAGATTTGAATTATTAATGAGARTATATTGCCTCTTACCTTGGTCTTCATGGTGATTGTTCTGTCAATATCTGACTCATTATTAGATAAAACCCTTTTAAATACCAGTTTTACATGTACATCTGATTTCATTTAGAAAATAGCATAAAAGGTATACTTAATCCGCTCTAGATTAATTTGAACTGGAATTGGCAGGGTGACTTTAACTTACAAGGGGTTCTGCTGGTGTGGGATGCAGACCAGTTCACCYTCACTCTTTTGGTTTCAATTCAGCTGAATGGCAGAAAGCCACTCATTCTCTGTCTGCTTGGTGGTGAAATCCAGTTATCATTAGTCACCTGCTAACACTTGCTGTTAGGTAAAGGTGCCTAGAGACTGAGTTATTTTGGTATGTTATAGACTTTGCACTTGTATGACGGTACAGGATCTAAGTTTTTGGGAAATGATCCAAAATGATCAGATGATCTGTTAGGCAAATTTCATTTTGCCTAACAGATCATATCATCACATCATAGAATAGAATTCATTACATTAACTTAAATCAGGCTAATGCAAAAAAGATAAACTTGATTTTAATAACTTGTAGGAAAAAAAAAATTAAAGGTAGCTAAGAAATTACATTCTATTTGTTCTATCTATACTATTAAGAAGTTTTGCCCTTCCATGTTTATGCAACCATTCTCTTTTCACTGAAACAGCTGTTTATAGAGCCTCCTYTTTAAACAGGCCAGCTCTTTCTTAGTATTGCTAATCTTGTGCAGGGAAAACACGTGATCCACACTCCCATTAAATCATCAGACTAGTGCTTCTCAACCATGAACATTTATTTCAAAGGAATTAATGAATGGTGACTAAGAGGAATGAATTGATATGTGCCGTATGGGAATCTGCATATGTGTAATTCATACATTGCCAGTGTTGAATTTGGTCTGCAAATTAACACAGGCTGAAAAGCCCTAAACACAAGTGAGATCTAGCAGATGAAGGGAAATCAGAAGATTTCAACATACACAGCCTTGCAGTCCAAAAAGTGTCCTCCTCTCATGGGTTCAAGCTTTTCTCCTAGAATATGATTGCTAGAAATTTAAGGAAAAGAAATAAAGCAGCAGAGGAAGTCCCTTTGACATAATGCAGTAAATCTAGGACCTAGGAATGAAAGAAAAAAAACCAAAACATTAAATATCAAAAAATCTCAACAAAATAGTGTAAGCAGTATTTTACCATTTTTAATGGCATAAATGCAAGGATTTGCTTGTCTTCTCCCTTCCTTGGGTGTGAATCACTTCTACTGAAATAAATGGAGTTTCCTGTTTTGCTGCACTGTATATGTGAGCAGAGCTTCAGGCCTTATCCTTTTTTATTTTTTGCAATTTTTTTTCTTTAAATGTGTCTGAAAACAAAKGAACAGTGCAAACAGGAGTTGACCAGTAGGGCTGGGTTATGGATTATTTAATAAACTTTCAAAGGTATTTTAAGCAAGAAAATACTTAGTTCATGAGTTTGTTGGTTTCTTTTYATTTTTAGAGAATAATTTCAGGAATTTCTTGAACAGTATATTTTCTTTGAGTAAAATAATAATAGCTGTTCATGTAGTGTCTCTGAGAGAGGAAGAGGAAGTGTGGAAAGTAAAGGGGCTAAGGAAAATGCAGCAGGAAACACCTATCTCCATCACAGAGAAGCAGAGTTTAAGAGCTGGCTTGAGGAAAACAAAGTTATTTTACTGTAAGTCACCCCTTCCCTCTCAAGCGCAATAAAGGGAGATAATCACACTGTGAAACTAAAACATATCCAAGTTAATCGGCTTATCTCAACAATGAGAAGATAGGAAATTATTGCAGTTCTGCAGCTGGGAAATTWTCTGAGTCCAAGATATTAGATTAAAAATTCTTCCATTGCATGAGAACAATTTGTGGTGGRTAAGTCTGATGTAATAGTAAATATGATTAGGCTGCTTAAAAAAAGCAGCATGTTCAATTTTTTTCCAATAAATGAACAGACTTGCAGCTGACAGGCTGCTGTTTCRCTACAAATTCCTGACTGTTCCCTCACCTCTCCATGTGATGCATTTTTCCTGTGAGTCTGGAAAAACGAGTGTTGTTTGTGAGAGCTGTGCAATGGTTGACACAGGGGTATACACAGCGTGGACTTTCACACATGGATCTGTATGGGCTTTACAGCAGCAGGTTGCAGAAAAACTAAACCTAAATCTTATCAATTCCCAGGCTAATGATTTTATTACGTGACAAATGCTCTGAAAACCGAGAAGCCACATATCTGCCTCACCCTTTCTCTCTGGCGAACACTTGACCTGTTGCTATGGCTGTGCTGTGCTTTTGTCCCCCTTTGCCATCCCTTTCCTAAAAGGACAGCGATGCTGTTTTTAAATGTCATCGGCTGTGACATTTGCAGGACCCTGGTCGCCTGGTACCGTASCTGTGTGCCCTGCTGCCTGCCCAGCCTCTGCAGAGCCACGCTGTGCTGCAGCAGCAACCCCGGGCTGGCCCTGATGTTTTGGGGTGGTGGTAGGTATGTGGGTGGCTGCCTTGTTTTGGTCCTTGGTAGGTGGGAGCTGCAGCCGTGCCCTKTGTGCAGCTGAGGGATGTGCCAAATTTGGGTCCTCATAATGGTGTGATCATGGCTTGCTTTCCCCCGTTAYTCCTAGCAAGCTCCAGTGATGCTTTTGCCTGTCTGTGTGCTTGCATCCCTGCCTTGCATGTTAATGAAAGACATCACTCTCTTTAGCCCCTCTCTGCTTGGACAGGATACTCTTTGTTTAYGCTGTTTATTTCAGTCTGGCCTACTTGTAGATCCTGGGCTACCCTGGAGCGGCCCATTTCTGCTGAATGGGAGTGGGGGCTGTGTGGGTGCTTTGTCTTGCTTTCAGTTTGGGATCTGGCTGGGCTGTGTTGTTTTATGGCTGATGGGTGGGAGTGGAGAAGGGGGGAGTGCAGAGAGGAAGCGGAGAGCAAATATTATTTTTTTTTTCTTCACTAGGCATCTGCCAAAAGCATCCTTTGAGTTTGGATGTAAAGAAAAATAAAAGGCAGAGTCCTTGCAGGAATGAAWTTAACCCCATGTCTGATTTTTAGCCTAGAAAGCAGTGTGTGGGTGCTTAGAGAGAGAGAGAGGCTGCAGTGTTTACTGTTCTGGAATTTAATGACACAGCATTCAAACCTAAACAGGGTTGGAGAGAGGCAAATGGTGAGGGGAGCAAAGAGGGGGAAAAGGGAGGAAAAGGAGCTCTCAGGCTCTGGACCTGGATTGAATTACAAGAATAATATGGCTTATGTTGAGAGTGAAAGCCTACATATGGTTTTGTGCTGCTTTGTGCAGACAAACAAGAGAAGAACAGGATAGAGAGTATGTGTTTTGCAACTTGATAGCTATATGTGTGGAACCCGAAAGGGTGGCTGAGGCATCACCAACCAACCTGTCCTTATCTCCCCCAGACATCTGTGTGCATCTGCTGCAGGCTGCTGACTGCCTGAACAAACCCCTTGGGGTGATCCAGATCTTCTCTTATGTCCTGGGAATGCCACCACCCCGGACTGGGAGGCATGCACATGCATGTGGTGCAGGTCTAAACCTAGCCATGTCACTGTCTGCAGCATGACAGCAAACCTGTGGTTAGATGTGGCTTTATAGATGTAGAAATATACACATAAAGCCAGTCTTTCTCCCCTTCAAAATTGTGTATTTTCCTAGTTTCAGCTGATAGTCTGTGCTACCTCCTTTGATCAGATGTTAGCATTGTCACAATACCTGACAAAGYTGGTGCAGTATCTGTTTGTGGCAACTAATGCAGGAAATCAAGACATCAAGACAATTGGCTGTCTTCCCCTTGACTAAATGCTGCTTGCAGCCTTCAGCAAGAGCTGCATCTCGGTTTCTGATATGAGCATCAGGTGGAGCTGTGCTGTAGCTCACCCCAGCTCCCCCTCACACTGGTGGGGTSTCAGCAGGGTGAACCTGTTTCTGGGGCAGCAGTGGGTACTCCTCAGAGACCCTTCTGCACAGTCACAATGTTGCTGGCTTCTTTGCACTCAGTGCTTCCCAAAACTGTGTTCTGCAAGATACACCTGAATGTGACGTCAACTTCAAATACCATTTATGGAAACCAAGACAATATTTARGGTGCACAAGTCCTGGTAGGATTTGTGTGACACAAAAAGGGGCTGAATCATTACTGCCCTGCTGGTGAATAATGGTGAGCCATGCAATCA